TAAGATATAAATACAATAAAATTAATGAAAATAATATGTATTTACCTCGGAAAAATAAAAAATAAGAWATATATCCAGCTGTATATAAAAATTAATATTTCTCGTCCACTATAGACTAAAACTACTGTACCAATTTACGCGCCATAATTTTTTAGAATTGTCTACGTTGTAAATTGATGGAATATTCGATCTAACCAGTTAAAGCAAGTAGTACGCTCATTGACAAAACGAAYCTAAAATAACTTGCAAGCAATCTAAAATTGAAACACCATTCCTCATCTACCAACAATTGGTCATTTCATTCCACGGCACACCACGCTTTATTTTGCACGCTAGAAATTCTTAGAGATATTCGAATAAGAGTAGATAACTCAGTGATTACTGATTAAGTAATGTATAAAAAAWTTTTTTTCACATTGGTGATATTTTCTTTGATGTGCCAAGTTGATATATTATAATGCCTTCATAGCTGCTCAATTGCACTAACTGTAGTTCATCATCGTGTGTCTACCATTAACCGCAGGTAAATTGTTTACCTGATATATAATACAATACTGCATGCATAAATTACTAAATAGTAAATAAAACGATTTAAAATTGAGCCACTATATCAACGTAGGTAGCAGGTGACACCAGTGATGGATTTGAGGGAGGCGACGTGGCGATTACCTCCTCAATAGGGCTTTTTTAAATTAAATTATAGTGCCGTATGATAAAATGAATATGAAATTTATAAGTCATAACTATAACTTCAAACTTATAGATAAATTATATGAAAAAAGGTATTTTTTTTTAATATGAAAATCGGAAATGTGTATTCAGTTACGACTTTGTACCTATCGGTTATCAATCTATGATGATACCAATTCACCACCTCTTCGAATGATCTTCAGATCCACTACTGGTGACGCAATCCTATCGAAACATTCCGAGCCAATCATATTATGCAAGTAAGTACAATTATTCATGTTTCCTTGTTTCCAAATTCGGTGCAACAAATATCGTGTTTGATAATTACAAGCCAAAATTCAAAATGCAGTAGGAGAGGGGTTAATTAATTACATGGGAGACATTGATGAACATGTCGATAAACATGATCATTTCAATACGGGTACTAAGCGAGAAATGGTAGCTGCATTACAAGTTTTACTGCCCTTGCATGATAACTGATAACTACAAAATATTAGTTGGAGCAGACGAACATATTTTGGCCAACTCTACGAAAGACAGAACTTGCACAAAAAATTGATCGTTATAGTTTAAGTTTTGATCGTTATAGTTGACTGAAGCATTTAAATCACGTAAATACGTAATATTATATTAAATTCATCGCAGAAATTATATTCGGATATTCGGCGAGTCTTTAAACTCGTCGATTATAAGACCGGATTCCAATATCCGATTTTATATTAGTAAAGAGAAGATGGATATCATTTCAATATCAAATTGAGAAATCCTTAAATAGATGAGGAAACCAATAAAAAAATCAGTGCTCTATTAATTTAATCATTTTTWGATATGTGAAAATCGTACCTTTAAATACTAACAATATTTGGTCGATATTTGTGCGAAAATTGAAAMAAATGACTCCTCTAAATTCTATTAAATCAGATAGAGTTGCATTCTGAAAAGTAGATTCATTTACGTGGTACAGTTATTAATGATGGCAATATGAATCCCAATGAATTGAGAAAAATGGTCATGCTTCCGTCACATTTACAAGAAGTTCACACTTCCACGCCATATGCGTCATGAATAAGCGCAAGATGTCAATAAGATGCAATATTTTGTTCGTGCAATTATGATCAGTGGTCATTGACCACAGATTTGTGTATTACATACACATGCAATCCTATGTATATCTTTTTAGTCAGCGCGACTCAAACGTAAAAAAAGAGCGAGAGCCGAGAAGCTCAAAAAAAAAAAAACGATGACATCTAGATTTTTATGAAGAATTTGTAAAAAATACAACTAGACTGTTTATTTATATATTTAAGATAATATTCTAAAATAATTTAAATAAATCCAGATATTGAAGATACAAAAAAAATTTCAAAAACAAACATTTATCGAACCTCGAGCCATTAYAAATTATAAAGAGTACGCATATTATACTAGTGTCCCCATCAATCTCAAAAACACACTGTAAACATATTATAATCGAGTAAATTCTCAATTGATCCAAGTTGATCAGAGTTRATACATTCAGTACCTACATGGTTACATAATTTAACATAAATAATATTTTTTTACCTAATAATTATTAACTAACATCAGTTAGCTAAATAATTGTAAATACCAAAACAAATATGTTCAATGACATGCATAATATTATTGTTATTGCACATGCTTTCAGCCCTAAACACAAACTTTTAAATTAAATCTATTTAGAACTTGTTAATTTCTTCTTTGCAAAAAACAGAACAGACAAACATTAATGTTATTTTGAAGAAAACTATTGTTGGCTTAAGTTTTTTGTTTGAATTACTAAACAATCAAATTGATTGCTTTGAACTTTTAAGCAAAGTTTGGTTTAAAATACCTTATTTTGACACCACTAGAAGAAACTGAAGATTGTTTCACGAGTTAAGACGAGAGAATCATATTTCTCATTTAATTTTCGTAATATAATATAATCAAACCATTTTTAAATGTACCAAAAAAAAAAATTATATGAGACATATGAAATACTAAAATAAAAAAATAGGTTCCTATTACAGTAAATTATAAGTTTGATACTGCATTACAATAAAACCATCAAACCAACATTTTTATAAAGACCAAATGTAATCAAAACACTAGCGTCACTAACAATCCATCAGTCATCACATAKAAGCTTATAATTGTATTAAATTTACACAAGAACTTAAGATATGAAATACAAATATCTTATTAAAAATAGTTACCTTATATGATGAAAGGGATAMATTTTTAAACGTTACATTTTAAAAGTTAGCATCAATGTTGTCAGAGATATATGTGAAAATTTTAAGTTTTAGATAGTAATAAATAATTATGCAAATGTATTGGAGTCATATCTCTTGTCTCTAGTTTTTAAAACTTTTGTAATTTTAAATTTATTAAATAATTGAAAATATCCATAAAAATATTTAAAAATGTAATAATAATAAATAAGGGATCTAGTGTCAACTGATTTATATAATAGGTTCCATGTTTGACTTCTTTTGATGTATAATGCTAGATAATTTTATGGTTATTCATGATAACACTAATTAATTTTCAATTTTTTAATACTTTATATAAATATAGTGTAATTTAAGATATATCATACTAAAAAATAAGATTAAAATATTAAAATAATCCACTTACAACTTCGGTTGGACGAAAATATTTAGCATTCACTCTTACACGTATGACATTGGTAGATTCTTCTTTTCCCACTTCATTCAACCCAGTTCCTTCCCAAATAATTGTTTTTCCAATGTGCTTGAATGATTTTTCTACGAATTCTCTAATACTGTGCATTTCACCAGTAGCAATTACAAAATCTTGAGGTACATCCTGTTGTAACATTAACCACATTGCCTTAAAAATAAAAATGCATTTATTAGTTAATAATTACCTATTTGATACAATTAAAATATATAATTTATTCTTTATAACATAAAGTKAGGAAAGGYCGGTAAGGTTATGGTAGGAAAAATGTATGAATGACAAAAATGTTTTTTTAAACTTTGAATTATGGATTTTAGAATGTACAATTTAATTTTAGARWGGGCCGCTGGTCTACACTCTATTATTTTATAAGTAGACCCACTTTTGTGCATACAAACTCAGCTGTTGGAACAGTTGGATCTCTTTATGAGATGCCAGATGCTTTGTGATTGGTTACCAGAGGTYGGTAAACTACATAAGTCTTTAGTTTGTCACAGCAACTGGTTATTATCAGTTGAGTGGATCAACTTATCTTCTATCTATATGCATAAAAAAGGATTTCTGTCTATCTTTCTGTTTGTCCTTTAAGCATTCCTAAACAGCTGGACCAATTGCAACAAAATTTAGTATAGAGGTATTAGACCTATGGGCAGAAGATAGGCTAAGTTAAAAAATGATAGGCCCAACCCCAGGAGGTGCTCAAWGAGACATTTAGAGATTTACGGTGGACATTTTTGTTTATTTATAAATGGTTGCTATTAGTGCGAAAAAAATTATTATCCCTGAATTTGTTATTATTTGTTTTCATGGCACGTGCGTCTATGGCATTACAAGTTTTTATTAATATTTTGTGTTTTTTCATCACATTGCCAACAAATTTTTGTAAAATAACAGAAATAACGACCAATGAGTTAATTAACAAAGTAGTTTTACCAAATCTACCAAAAAATTGCAGAAATCGTAAGTGGCTCAGTGCACAGTCTATATTGGCAGCCAAAAACTAAGATGTAAATACAATCAATATAACCATTCTAAACGATATTCCAGATGACAAAACAATGTACCAGTCCATCAATACTGTAATGAATCAAGACAAAGTTGTCAAATATCCAATTGAATTCTCAAAATTCAATTGATTTGCCAGGCATGCCACCGCACGTTCTAACATTGAAATTTTGCATGTCCATCATTCTTCTACAAAACATCAATCCACTACGACTCTCCAATAGTACTAGGCTTTCAGTGAAAAAGTTGATGAACAACATTATCTAAGCTATAATTTTAAATGGAATGTTTAAAGGCAAAGATATACTGTTGCCACGCATCCCAATGATTCCAACAGATAGGTATGCCTCTTGAATTCAAATATTTGCATGTTCCAGAGTGACAAAGCACAAGGACAATTATTGTTACAATGTTATAACTGAATTTTAAAACTCCATGCTTCTCACATTGACAGCTGTATGTTGCAAGCTCATGCGTCAGAAAACATTTCGATATATTTGAGTACATAACCAGAAGAAAGAACAAAAAAATGTTGTATATCTAAATGCATTTCGATATCATTCAATTGAATACTTAACTGTCAGACTTTTATTGATAAAACAAATAAAACTACATAATGATAAACTAATATTGTTGTAAGATTATTACTCAATATATTTTAATAGTTATCTAACTATATGTATAATAAAATAAATAAAATATACATTGCAAGCGTAATCACAGATAACAAATTTAACATACGGTTTGAGACATATATATAGATAGTATTTTTAACAGGTTATGAAGTGCACGGATTCAGCTAGTTTGGAATAAAATAAAGTTACATTAAATATATATATATATATATGTGTATGTATATATCTTACTTCAACATAATCTTTGGCATGACCCCAGTCTCGTTTGGAGTCTAAGTTTCCTAATTGTATACAATCCAATGAACCGATTGCTATTTTTGCTACCGATCTAGTAATTTTTCTAGTTACAAAGTTTTCTCCTCTCCTTGGACTTTCATGATTGAACAGAATTCCATTGCAAGCATACATATTGTATGCTTCTCGATAGTTTGTCACAATCCAATAAGCATATAATTTGGCACACGCTAAACAATTTAAATAGATTTTAATATGGATAATACCCAGGAATCAAATTTTTAAATAAAGCCAAATATAATTTAGTATAAAACATTGCCATTTATATTAAATAATACCATATGGAGATCTAGGATAAAACGGAGTAGTTTCTTTTTGAGGTATTTCAAAAACTTTTCCATATAATTCTGATGTAGAAGCTTGATAAAAACGTACATTGTTTTCTAGGTGACATGCTCTAATGGCATCTAGTAACCTGAGAGTTCCAACTCCATCTACTTCAGCTGTATATTCACTTAGTTCAAATGAAACCTAAAACATAATTATTTATGCAATGGTAATTACAAGATAATTCCTTAAACAGCCTACCTTAACATGACTTTGAGCAGCTAAATTATATACTTCAGTTGGTTTCACCATTCCTATAATTCTCACTAGACAACTACTGTCGGTCATGTCACCATAATGAAGTTTCATTTTACCTTCCAAATGTGATTTAGGATCTAAGTAGAGATGTTCAATTCGACCAGTGTTGAATGTGCTCGAACGCCGAATAATACCGTGAACTTCATATCCTTTATCTARCAACAACTCAGCTAGGTATGATCCATCCTACAATTAAATTTATAATATAATATTAAATTATATATTATATTATATATTTTATTGATGTACCTGACCAGTAATTCCTGTGATTAGGGCTACTTTTCTACAATTATTTAAACCATTATTACTATTTTCCATGTCAATTAAATACTGTCAAGCTTAAATTATACTAAATACACTAATTTCTTTAAGCTACTTGAAAAGAGGAAAGTAACTTTTTTTCCAAAATTATTGTGTATTACTGAACGTTTTAATTTGTCAGAATACCCATTACCGTGATAATTTAAAATGGATAGAAGCTTTCAACTACAGTTAATTTATAAACATCCTGCAATGGGTTAATTTAATGTAAGTTCGTGGCAATTAAAATAATTTATGATTGGTACACGTTGTCTAAATTTTGTAGTCGAGAAACATATTATTTGTCAATARCAGATTGTAAAATGCAAACAATGAAACAACAAATAATATTATAGTTCACAGAAAACTAAATATTAATATTATAATTATTATTTATTATTATTAAATATTAGGTGATGTGATAATTTATATGGATACTATCATGGTATCATGATTCATGGCGAATACAGAGATAATCATGTAGTCATCATGAGGATACATAGATAATAAATCTTTATTATCCATGTGAGGACTGAATATGATACCTAATTTTAAAAGGATACTGATAACGCCGATGGAAATATACATTTTGAGAAATGAGAACCACTGTTTAGTTCTGTTCTGTTTTCTGTATTTTGTAGTTGTCTAACTACACCAAAGTACAGTGTTATTTTGATAAGCTTTTATTTTGGAATAAATAATAATACAAACTGTTTCCTTTCTTTAAGTTTTGGACTTTTGGCTTTCAATCACAATACCTTTAAATTTAAAGTTGTGTTTAAATAGTAGATATTCAGTGAACACTGAAGCTCTTCAGTACCGAATTCGAGATCGGCGTGCTAAAGAAATCGGTTCAAATATGTGGACAACAGTTTGGCTCCACCGCCTATTGTAATTTTTAAACGCTATTGATTAATTGTTTACAAACAAAAATCGATCCATTTATCAAGTTGAACCTACTCTATAAGGCACGTATTGTCCCTCATTAGGTTAATGGAAKCATGAATGATTTCCTGCAGAACTTTAATATGGGATGGATTCACCAACATCTGATGTACTCTTGCTCAGTGAAGACGACAGTGGTCTTTTGGTCAATGGTTCGTTTTCAAATAGTTCTGCCAGTAGCGGTTCTAACAAGCATTCACCACAATTCAAAGTAAGTTTATAATATTATTATTATGTAATGTTGTATAGATAAACTTATTCTTTGTAAACAACTAACATTTTGTTTCATTATTTGTCAAGCAGTGTAAATAAAAATTTGCGGTAACATTTTTAAGTTATATTAGTCATATAACAAATTTAATGTTAATATTTTTTGATTTTGCACCATATTATGTCTACTAATTTTTTTAATATTTCACTAAGTTTGCTATTTGCTTGAGCAARAGATAATTTTACCCGCTCACAAACTCTAAATTATATTATTTTATACATTTTATCATATTTTAATTTATAATATTAGTAAATAAGTACCAACCAACAACCAATATGTTAATTAATAATAAATATATTTATGTTATTGTACCCACCCACCCCTTATTTTCAAGGCGTAGCAACCACTATACTTAGTAATAAGGTTGGGGCGCCACTATGTTATGTACCGACTCATACCAAAGTCTAAGCCTGACACAAGTCGGTACGTCTTGCTTGTATTTTATGTGTGTAATTTCTCGAACACTCAAAATTGACTTAGTTATTTTGATAAAATYCAATTTCATTCTTGAAAATTTTGCATTTCAATAAATATTTATCTTTAAAGTACATTCTGTTTTCCAAAATTAATTTTACTGTATTTTTCATTATTAGAAATATCAAGATCAGTTATTAATCTTGTATAAAACTGTCTTAATAAATTTTTTTTTAATTTTTAGTGTAAAGAATGTGATGATGAGTTATCATTAAGTCAAGAGGATTCTCTAATCGACGATTCTGATACATCATACACACAACAATTTAATACATTGAAGAAATGTCCTAGTGTTCAAAAATCAGAGAATCCAATTCAGCCTCCTGTTGAGTTTCAAGACTCTCCATGCAATTCTTTTAATGTTYACTCTCCTCCATTTGAATTTAAAGACAATCAATGTAGACATGCCTGTTCTCCTGTCTACACTAATGAATGTATGATTCGTGTTGAACAATATGCAGATGGTTTTATAAAGTCGTTGATCAATGATTCACTGTCACACTTAGATCCATTGCATGATACTAGGTAATAATAGTGTAATACGTATATTATTGTAAATTACATGCATAATGTTTATTAATTTTGATAGCAACTTTGATTTAATTTTGTTTTAGGTACTTAAAACAACAAAAACTGTATCATAATTTAGGCATTTATTGGAAGACTAATTATCGTTTACCAAATGGATCAAACAATTCTTTGCTATCAACTATTTCATCATCACATAACTCCTTATTTAATGTAGTTTCTTCTGATGAWTCTAATTTTATATCTTCTGCGGTTTCACATGATGCTCTTAATAGTGATACGTATACATTACCAATCGATAGTTCCCCATTTAATGTTGCTTTTMGACGACCGTTAAGAAAAAAGAGAAAATTTCGTGATCAGTGCCATTCCGTACCTCTTAGTAAAAAGTAAGCATTACAAGCCAGTATTTTAAAATTATTTTDTTTTAATAATTATTTTTTAACTCAGACCAGGGGAAAAATGTATCAATGTTCAAGAGCCCATACACATGACTGTAAAAGATGTACGAACCATTCTTCACAATATTTATAGCAATACAGGAGAGTGTAGCAAACCTGAAGTTGCTAATGTATCAAAATGCAATGATGTGCAAAATGATCACAACAAAGAGAACTGTGTTAGCAAAGTGTCATCTAAATGCAAAATCAGAAAAAATTCATTTATGGTGAATATTAAACATAAGAAAGCAAAAGAAAATAGTACTTCAGAAGATATTGCTGGTCATAGTTCTAGTCATTCAACAAGAAAAATCTTTTGTTCGTCTCCTTTTATTTCATCAACCAAATCCAACTTTTCTTTTAGTTTAAAGCAAACATTTTGTAATATTTTTCGATCGCGTAAAAATACATCAACAGACTTGGATCCTGGGTTGAATCCAACAGACACTGTTGTTCTTTTAGATGTAACTAAAGAGACAGCATTTGAAAACCGTGCACTTCCACCAGTGCCTGATGATGGGCCTAGAGATACATATGAACGCGAGACCAGTATGGATTTTGCCTCTAGTATTGAAAAAGTGAAAGACGTAAGATATTTGTTTTTAATTTTTATATTAATCATACATTTTATTTTATGTATATCAAATAATTTTAGTATGGATGGTATTGGGGTCCAACATCAGGAGAAGCTGCTGAAAAAATTCTTTCGAATGAGCCTGATGGATCGTTTATTGTACGTGACAGTAGTGATGATCATTATATATTTTCATTGACATTTAAGTTGAATGGTTTTGTTCGACATGTAAGAATCGAGCATGATCAAGGTAAAAATAGAAATAAAATTCATAAATAATATTATTTTCACTTTAAATTTTTATTTTCAGGAAATTTTAGCTTTGGTAGCTGTACAAAATTTAAAAGTCATACAATTGTTGACTTTGTTGAAAACGCCGTAGAACATTCTCGTAGTGGGAGGTATTTGTTCTTTTTGCATAGACGTCCAATTCTTGGACCAATGAGAGTACAGTTACTTCATCCTGTCTCTCGATTCAAACAAGTTCAAAGCTTACAACACATGGCCAGGTAAATTCTTAAAAAAAAATGTTAACCTAACAATACATATAAAACAAATATGTTTAAATAAGAAATTGTTAAAAAAAAACCTATGTATGTCATCAGGTTTGTCATTTTGAAGACAGTACGTCGAGATTTGATCTACAAATTGCCATTACCCAGACGACTGATTGATTATTTAAATACACCACATTATTATTGTGAGCAACTGGGAAGCTCTGACAGTAGCAAATCAACAACTCCTACTCCAGCTGTACATCTAATTTCATTTACACCACCTTAAGTTTGATTCCCCATTTTTAATTAAAAAAATATATACTTTTGTCAAATAAATTGATTTTTAGCAAGACTTATTTAAAAATTAAACTATTAAAACAGTCATAATCATTAGTATTCATGTTATTTCACATACAGTAATAATTGTTAAATTACTTGACAATTCAACTATTTAGAGTTATAACTTGTTAAATAATAATATCATGAAACAATATTATATAAACTACATTTTTATCATACAAATCAAACTATTAGTACATAATAATTAATTACGTGAAAGAATATTTAAAGCTTAAATTAATGTTCAACTGTGGTTTATTTAGTTTTTAAACTGGAATTCTTTACACTAGATTAGTTTGATACTGTTATAGCGACTATTAGTTGAGTTTATGTTGTACAATTATTTATTTTTATACTTAGGGGCTTAGGGCCACTAACACTGTATTAATTTTTATAAAAACGTCCTGTACTTAATGTAATATGAACTTGTTCATTTACTTACTAGTTTATCAATTTTATTTCAAGATAAAGGCATTTGAATTGAATAATTACTATCTAAAATTATGAGGAAACATTCTATATTGTTAAAAAATATAAAAATCTTTATCAATTATTGTATTCACTCATTTTACATCCAGCAATAAAATTAATTAAGTTTTTGAAAACAATAACATTTATATCATTCTTTAACTGTAATTTTATTGATAAATATTCGTATACATTCATATTCAGAAAATGATTAAATACATTTTGTGAAATCAAAAAAGTTGATGTGTGGTAGAATTCTTGGATTATTTAATTACTGTTTATTTGTTGAATGCTGATGAAYTAATATTACATTTTAAAAACAAAACGAGAATAAAAGTATACAACAGTTTCTTACTTTACTAAAATTATATTTCACATAAAATATTTAATAATTCTTGAGTTTATTTTTTCTCAACCAATTCTTACTGAAAATAAAAAAAAATTCTATGATACATGTATTGCTTAGAGCTTTCCTWACAAAAACACAACAGAAAAAGTTTGTTTCAAATTTCTTAAAAACTACAATTATTTCTCTTCTATTTTTAATACATTGGAATAAATATAAATCAGAAAAACAATTAATATTATCATTTCTATAAATTATTTAGTGTTGTATATTTATATATGTTTTTTTTGTTACCTATTTTTAAGTAACTAATTGTGATTTTAGAGTTAACTCTATTTTAATAATTAATATATAAACGTACATTTTTTTAGCTGTATGAGACTCATTGTGTGAAATAGTCAAATACATGACTTGTAGATAATATATTATATATATATTGATTTTACTTGATGATTTTAATGAAATAAAGCTAAACATGTTTGGTTAGTAAAATATTTGTCTTGTTTTTTTTTTATTATTATTCTGTTATGAACAAAAATTTTACTTATGTCAACTGTCACTTGATAAGCTGAAGGATATAAGAGTTCCAGAGGATTTGTAACAAATCAATAACCCATTTCATAAACTGCAAGTGATTTTATTTATTCTGTTGCCACCAAACGTAAACATTCAAAGACTGAACCAAATAAAAATAAAAATCCAGTATTGATTAACACAAATATAAAATATAAAATACGTAACTTATATTTTAAAATTTAACTTAATAATGTATATACATGTGTTTATTAAAATATCATTCCTCATTGCTAGCCAAATGTTTCGATTAAACTATTACCTATCTGACCTTATTTGCTTGTTGGTATCCCTAAAGTTTTTCTGACCAACGTTTCAGCTACTTTATTAAATCCTTCACGGTCTTCGCGCCACATTTTAGCGGCATCAACATTTGCGCCACTCTCGTCATTTGGCTCTGAACAAGAAAAATTTAAATGAATACACTATGCAATAACAGTTTAAAATTTACAGTTTATAAATACCTGCAAGCATACTAATAACAGAAAGAAGAATTTTCTCAACGCTCTGTACAGGACTCCATCTTTCATTACTGGATTCGTAACCCATAGGGTCATCACCAGGCGCATGAAGAATTGAAATACATACACGCCCATCTGAATAAACTAAAATTTGAAAATTTACATTTTATTACATAAGTATAATTCTATATAAATAGGCAACAATCTAATATGAATAAACAAAAATAATAGTATAATATTATCATACAGTTTAAAAATAATAATTCATTAATCATATAGGCTTTAAGTTCAATATGAAGTTAAAAATTTAGTTAAAGAAGAAAACAAATTTGTTATTAGGGCACTTGTGTCAAAGTGTCAGTGCTCTTTGAAAGGATGAGTTAGTAAGATAATTTGTGCATAAGACAGAATATAGAAAAGTGGGAGAGAATGATTACTGTAAGAAGGAACATTAAAGGGGTAGAGTTTAGAAGATGAGGAGAACTAATAAATCCGTTAATTAATTTATGTATAAAAGTTATGTCTAATAGTTCATTATGTAAAAATAAAGTCTGAATATTCAGCTTAGATATAATTGGATTGTCATTGTATTAACTGCAATCAATAATAGGTATGTGAAGTTTGAATGATATGTATCTCAAAAAGTGGTTTTTAGCTATACTCAATACTATCAATATTAGAATTGGAGTATGGACTCCAAATAATTGAACCATATTCCATAATTAATCTGACTAATGCATTGTACAGAAACAGGAATGAATGTGGATTTTTAAAATCAAAGGAATGGCGTTTTACAAATCTTAATATTTTTAGAGCTTTACTAATAATATTTTCTATATGTTGACAATAAATTTGGATTCAACAAAACCGTTATACAAATATCTTTGATCCAAGAAACTGATTCGAGTAAATAATTCATTTTAGAATAATCAAATTCTAAGGGTGATCGAGACATAGATCATAGAGAAGAGAAGGGGTCACCAACTGGCAGACTGTGAACGCTTTTTTAYGGACCCTTATCCGGGAAGTAATTTTTAAGTTCTTTAAATTTGTAGAACATAAATAAATAAAACTATAAGTATGTCATATAAAATTTATATTATGACAATAGAATTATTTAAGTAATGAAAAATAATCTGAATCTCTATATTCATAATTGGGAAAACCAATTTTGGGAAGTTAATTATAAATCAAAAAATGTGTGTTGAAGTCAATAAAATTGTTAGGAACCGCGGCCAATTTGGTAAATTTCAAAAYGGACTTCCATAGAAATTTGTTATAAAAACTAAAAACATTCCTCGCTCCGCTCAGAATCTAAAAATAGTTGGTGACTCTTATGATAAAGTAACATTTTGAGATATTAAGACTCATGTCCCATTTCTGGCACCAGTCAAAAAAGATATTTTATTTGTTTTGCAGAAAAATACAGTCATTAATAGAGGAAACACAAGTATATATTTTTAAGTCATCAGCAAATAACAAAAATTTACAATAATTGTTGAGAACTGAGAAAATATCATTAATAAATATAAGAAATAAGAGAGGAGATCAGTTCCGCGATAACCGTCATAGTRTACCTGCGTTATCGCATCTTTTCGTCGTCACGAGTGTTATTTTATCGTTATGTCGTATATTAAATAAAACCCAATCATGTCTCATAATAACGCATCCAAAYGTCAGTTAGGTATCTTCGGCTTCGTCGCCTACGAAGCATGACAATACCAAAGGAAAAGTATTTACAACAGATATGCTTCTCTCTCTGTGGAACATCTTCCTGATGTATTCAGCCTTCCTCCCGTCGCGGAACCCGGGGTTAAAGAGGGGGGGACGCAGGAGGACTCAGTCCCCTTAACTCTGACGGCGGTTAAAAAGCATTCCCTTTAACAAATTAGGATTTTATACATTAAACATTATACCTAAAATTATATATGGAACGCTTAAAACTTTATGGAGACATTAGTCCCCWCTGTAATTTTTCCCCACTTTAACCTCTGCGTGGAACAGTCATTACATCAAGGTTTGGATACGAGTACTTCAGCGACTATTCACATGAAATCAAACAGGTCTCCACCAATTTATATAAAAAACCTAACTAATCTTTCCAAGCTAAGAAATAAGCTCTCGTCTATAGTGATTAGTGGGTCCAGAAGGGTTTAGTTTCAAGTCCTCAAAAGACTCTACCATAATCAAAACAGCTGACCGCGCCAATCATCTCAAGGCGGCGGCATATCTCGCTAAAACAAATTTGTCATTTCATACCTTCCACCAAACTGCGACCGTCCAATCCAAGCGGTTATTCGTCACCAGCATTAGCATTACTCGATCCCCGTCGATGATATCGAGACAGCCCTAACGGAATCGGGTTTTTCCGTCTTAAGCGTTCGCCCAATTCTTAATCGTTCTAAGAAAAGTCCACTGTCTGTGTTTTCAGTGAGTCTTGAACCAATTGAATCCAGTCATAACATTTTTAAAATAACCAAGTTACTAGACTCCATAATCGCAGTCGAAAAGCCAAAAAAATCCCGCTTTCCTCCCCAATGCATGAAATGCCAGATGTACGGTCACACCAAATCATACTGCAGCCCTCGCTGTGTTAAATGTAGTGAGACTCATCTCACTGTGGATTGCACTAAGTCCCGTGAACTGCCCGCGAAATGTGCCTTATGCTCCGGAGACCATACGGCAAATTATAAGGGCTGCCCTATCGCCAAAAAACTGAAACGACCCATTTCCAAAACAATCAACA